GGATTCAGAATTTATCTACATGCAAATCCTGAGGCAGAAACTCAAAAAAGGGGGGGAAAAAGCGGTGAGAAGAACATAGTTATTACCTTTGTATAGGATAGAAAACAGGCCTTTGAAAATTTCTAATCACAGCTTTTCTCCATCTTATTTGGGAGACAGAGAAATGATTTCCTCCTCCAGTGTATTATAGGCATACATTCAAAGGGCAAGCAAGCAGGATTTCTTCTAAGCAAAGAAACATTAAATATCAGATTTTCAAGTGTTAAATGTTCTTTATCCTCAGTGCAGACATGCAGCCTAACTCAGAGAGCCAAAAAGACTCTGGCAGGACTTGGCTGTCAGCAATAAGAAATAGTCAAACTGTTAATCCCATCTGTTCCCTCCCAAAAAAATGACAAGTGTTACATGATAGTGCCAGGGGTCTCAGGCTCCATTTAAGAATTTTGTTCTGAGGGGTATCCATTTTTACAATATTAAGATGCTCTCTAATTTTTTTTTTTTTTTTTTTTGAGTACTTCAGAAGTACTTTAAACAACCAGTCCTGACCCTGCATGACAACTTCAGTGATAATAACAAAGAAACAGGCTATCTTTAACATCGTATTCTTTGTCAAAGATGTTGCTTCCAGAATTGTCTTCCTTTCTTACTGGTCAAAGCTCTGAGTTCCATTCACTTCTATTTCCTCAGGGACTTAGTTTAATAATTATCTCATCTTTCCTGAATCTCCTAGAAATATCTTCCTAACTTGCCTCTACTCTCACTTTCCTCATACATGTAAATAAGCAACCATGGGCAATCCTTTCAAGTCCCCTTCCACTGTGGGAGTTTTTCTGTCCTCTTAATAAATCCTGCTTTCAAAAAAATTAAATATATAAACAAGCAACCATAACATTCCTTCAAATTATATCCTTCTGCAGTGGTTTTCAACTGTGCCTGCACACTGTTGCTTACAGAACTATTACAAAATACCAACTCAAGTGATCTATAGTGACAGAAAGTAGATCAGTGGTTTCCTGGGGGGATGAGAGGAAAAATTACAAAGAGGCACAAAGAAAGTTGGAGAAGATGGTTATGCTCATTATTTTGATCGTGGTGATAGTTTTACAGATCTAAACATATGTGAAACATTATATTGTAAACTTTAAATATGTGTAGTATATTATATGCCAATGAAACAAAGCTGTTGAAATAAATACTGATATCTGGGTTCTATCACCAACCCAATTGATATAGAAGTTCCCCCTGGAAAACAGCTCTGTCACCCAGGCTGCAGTACAGTAGCATGATCATAGCTCACTGCAGCATTGAACTCCTGGGGTCAAGTGATCCTCCCACCTTGGCCTCCCAAAGTTCTGGAATTATAGACATGAGACACCGCGTGCACCCACCCAGGCTGGAATGCAGTGGCATAATCACAAGTGATCCCCCCACCACAACCTCCCAAGTAGCTGGGACTACAGACGTGCACCACTGCGACTGGCAAATTTTTTAATTTTTATTTTTGTAGAGATGGGAGTCTCACCATGTTGCCCAGGTTGGTCTCAAACTCCTGGGCACAAGCAGTCCTCTTGCCTAAGCCTCACAAAGTGCTGGGATACCACTATACCTAGCATAAAATTCTTAAAAGCTCCCCAGATGGTTGCAAGTATATAGCCAAGATTGACAAGCACTGCTCAGTGATAGCTCTAGTCCTTCTTTACCTCGTTTTTCTTGAGAAGTCTCACTCAAGCATGTCTACTTTATCATCACCCATTCTTTCTCAATCTTCTGAAGACTGATTTCTGAACCACCAATTAAAACTGTTCTTGTTAAAGTCCCCTAGGAGACCCAGGCACGGTGACTCGTGTCTGTAATCCCAGCACTTTGGGAGACTGAGTTGAAAAGAGTGCTTGAGGCCAGTTCAAGAACAGCAAGAGCAACATAGCAAGACCCCATCTCTACCAAAAAAAAAGAAAAGAAAAGAAAATCAGCTGAGCGTGGTGGTGAGAACCTGTAGTGCCAGCTACTCAAGAGGCTGAGGTGGGAGGATCACTTGAGTTCGGGAGGTCAAGGTTGCAGTAAGCCATGGTGGCACTCCACTCCAGCCTGGGCAACAGAGACACCGTCTCAAAAAAAAGTCACCTATGGATAGATAGTGGTCACTGGAGTCCTCTCCCTACTTGATACCTCTTTACAGCAATCAAAATTGTTCCTCTTCTATTTGAGAATCTCTCTACCCTTAGCATCTCTCTTGATGTTTTTCTAACCCTACTCCTCTATCTCTTTCAGGCTATTCGTCTACCTATTTCTGTTACTTATCAGAGTCTATTATCTGGCTGCCACTCTTATCATGCTGAGGCTTTGCCTGAGTCATTTCACCATAACCAAATCAATAGAACTTCAACCATTAATCTCCTCTCTAGTACTGATTTCCTTTATAAACTCCACATCTCTAGGTCCAAACATCTATCTTCATCTTCACCTGATGTTCCATTGCTTTCTCAAATTCAAAATATCCAAAATAGAATTTATCATTTTTTCCATTTATGTGTTCCTTGTTTCCAATCAATGGAACCAAGTCAAATCCTCAGAGTCCTGACTCCTCCTCCTTTCTTCCCATAGGTGACCAGGACCTATCAGTTTGTTTCTCACTCTGCCAGAGTGAGGGTGTAACACACAAATCCAATTCATGGCTTCTCATCCATCACCTGCAATCCACCTTCAGCTAAGGATGTCTACTTACAATGCCCTCATCTGGCCTCTACCACCCTCTATCCTCATCTCCCACCATTTCCCTACTAACCCCTGCATTCAAGCCATATCAATGTCAATGCTATGGACTTTGTCAACTGCCAATGTTGACTGACACTGCCTTGTCATTGTCAATGACTTCTCTAAACTGTCATGGTTTCTCTCATGCCTCCTTGCCTCCTCCTTTTGGAAAGTTACTCACCTCCTATACTTGGCAAAATTGTATTTTCCTTTACAACTCTACTGTGTGCTCCCAACTCCACCTACCTCCAAGATGACTTAACCATCTCCTACTCTAAACTCCTTTACTACACTAGGCATGTCTCTATTCACAATTATTACAAGGTATTATAATTGTTACTTTATAGTAATGTTGCTGACATCTTGTACATTATACAGTATATTTCTTGAGGACAACAGCTGTGATATTCTTTTCTGCACCTAGTACCCACAGCCTGGAGCAATACAAAATATATTTAACATAATTTTAATTACTTACAAAATGTAAACTTGATACCCCCAAAAAGATCTTGAATACTAAGAATTTTTTTAATTTCTTAAGATTAATTATGAAATAAATGTGAGGCAGCATGATACTGAATAAGACAGTAGACTATAAAATATATTTAAACTCGTTGTCAAAACTACATCAGTCTAAAAACTACAACCAAGAGCAGATTTCATAAAATAGAAACACAACCAAGTTATTCACCATAGGATAACACACAGACCTAGCCAATGTCCCATCGGGTGTCCCTATCTGATACTGTTAATGCTGATAACATTAAGAGGGTTTCTAATCCCTCTGTGATCATTTCAATAAATCCAATAAGAATAAAATGACTCAAATCCATATTTGTTTTATAAATATGTGATTCCCCTCCCCCCTTGCCACTTTGTTTGAATGAATTGATTATTCGAATAGCTGACTTTGAAGCTACTATTGGCCAAGCAGATCTTAAGATGTTTTTCCTTCCTTGCCTTTATCTGCCCCTTAAAAATACAGTGTTCTAGACTGATACTCATCTTGCAAACCTTAAAATGTACTGACCGAAAGAAACAAAATACTTACAAATGGGGGAAGGGGGTTTCCTGTGGATGTTAGCAGTAGAATGTTCTCATGGAAAACAAGCCTCCCAGGACTATCATGTCGACTCAAGGTTACGCCAGTCTTGATGACTTTATGCCCATACGATTTACAGGCTGAAAACCTCATACTGCAAAGTGTTTACAAGAACCAAAGAGGTGGCCTATCAGCTCGAAAAACCACTGTGTGACCCGCGGATAAACAATTCGCAAAAGGTCAGCTTGGCCCTGCCGCCTGTAGGACGGTCTCTGAGATAAGCAGTGGCTGCGGGTGGAACAAACTCCCCCCTACCTGAAGAGCGGCGCAGCTGCCAGGTTTGCGGTCGTGCATTTATCAGAGAGCCGATGCTGTGCGGCACGAAACCACTTGGACAGAACTGAAACGTTTCAGGAATGTCTCAACTCCGAGGGCACAAAGCACACATGTGCAAGCGGACGGGCGGACACCCAGCTGCGCGGCAGCCTACCAACGTGGAGGCTACAGCCCCGACGACTCTCAAGTATCTCTCGGGAGAGGGGCAACTCACAGAAAGAAAGGGACGGGGGCTGAAGAGATCTTCAGCGTGACAGCCAAGGGAGGAAGCGTGGCTGCTGTGGGGACCTCTCCGCCCTGCGGAGGACCAGAGACCCAGGCCAATCCCGCTTTCAAGCGGGGAGGGGGTCGGCAGGGACCATTTTGGCCACCAGACTGGAGGGATAGCGGTGGCCTTGCTGGAGCAAAGAGAGAGGATGGGAGGGGTGGGAGAGGTCGGGGCATCCGCCGCAGTTGAGGGGCGGGGGGAAGAGGTAAGGGAGAGGGGGTAGGGGGG